GTGGTGGGGTGGCATGTTCCTGGGTGGGTGTACTCCGTATATGTAGGTAGGTGTCAATAATAATGATTGTACGATGGAGGTAAAGGGTTGAAAAACAAGTCAGATGATGGCAGGGAACCTTGGTTCGGATGTTGATGTTTTGCTGCTTTGGGTTAGTGCGTAGCTCTAGATAAGAAGGGATGTGTCACATGACTACCCTAGGACCCTGTATCTAGAGCCAGCTCCACAAATAGTTCACACACAGATCATATGCAGACCTTATAGGATGCCATCTTGGCCATTACTAAAACTGCTACTGCTGCTACTGCAATAAACCCTATCAATTTTGCCCAGGACCTGAGATCCCTACATGTAGATGAATGGAGAGTGAACCTCAGTATAAGAGAAAGAAGACTCGTCAAAGGAAATTCGTGTCATCATGGTCGTCAAAATACGCAGTATATCCTTTCAGAAAACAACCGCACATTCCACAATATGACCCAAAGGCACCATAACGCTGATCATCCGGAGAATGAAATCAATGCAGAGGCCGTCGGCGGCCGACGCTGCAACCATTAATGACCCAGAACCAAGGCATCCTAACAAGGACCCAGGAAAACTCGCAACATCGAAGAAAAAGGAAGAAAAAAACCAAACGCAAGGACAAGGTCTACTGAAGACCGTACAGACTTTCATTCCACGCGCCGATGGAACGAGGGGTCCGTCCCCTTTCTAACCTTCTTGAACATGAACAACCAGACAACGAATGCAAAGTCGGAAGCCGAACCACCCGAGTGGTCCGCGCAAGTCTATCGCATATTTGAAACGTCGAGCCACGGATCATCGACGACGAGGCATGGCACCTCCGGCTTTCATCGGCTGTAGTCCCAGCGGCACTCCGCCAACCGGTCCGCCAACTGTGGCTTCGGTGATGGTCCGTCGGCGCTTGCTTTCGTACTCTCCCTGGCTGTCCGGCCGGCCCATGCGATCCAGGTCGTCGTCTTCCCGTCCCCGCTTGCTGGACCCCAACGATCCACCCATGGTGGAGTATGTTGGTGCCGAGTTGGAAGTCACAGTGTAGTTGTCCGAGCCGGTTCCATTGGCTGATGTCCCGCGGGTGTCGCTGACAATGTTATAGAGACTACTGGCAGCGATCGGTCGAGGAGGAGACGCGTAGCCCGACGCCCATTGCGGAGGAGGCCCACCACTTGTCCGTGGGGTCATACGTCCAGACCCGTTCTGCTGCGGGGAGCCGGTGATGTCTGTTGTCAGTTGCGAATGCTCGCCCGTCAGACTACCGACCGAAGGGTTAGTGGTATAGGTGTAGGAACTCCGAGCGGCGCCGTAGCCCGCATTGTCATGGTGCACGTAATCAGACTCGTGCTCGGGGCCAGACTCGCCCGCCCCGGGAGCAATGTGTCCATTGCTCTGGGAGTACCGGTCCACCGGCTTGACATCAGAAGTTTCCGTCTCCGACTGTCCGCCCGGGGCCCGTCCCGCCGGTGGCGCCATCTCGTTCTTGATGTAAGAATGAGGTGGCATCGTCTGGCCATACTGTGACAGGTGATGCTGTGGAGCGTAGTGTGGGTGGGAAGAAGGAGCAGTTGAATAGTATGGTTTCGAACTGTCATACCCGGATTGGCTCTGGTACGATTGCATGCCTTGCAGGTTGTTGTTGCCGGGAGGAGTCGTCGCTGGGGTCGTGGGCATCGACCGTGCGTTGCTCAACGTGGTATCGATTGACAATGGCTGAGTGTTCGGTACGCCAGAGTTCATGCCTTGGTTATTCCAGTCATACGAGCTGCTCTGGTTGGAAATGCCCATGAGACTCGAGGCGCTGGCGGGCGGAGTGGGAAACGTATGTGCCCGGTCGAGGGTGGGACGAGCACCAGGCTGCGAGGACATCGTAGGGGGCTGAGGCATTTGCGAAGGAATGGGGTTCTGCATGGAGTGATGGTGGTGCAGAGCGGGCGGCTGAGAGGCTTGGGGAGTTCGCGCAGATGGTGGGCCCTCCAGTCGCCGTTGTTGCGATTCCTGCACGACCATATTCGTCCGAGTCTGGTTTGTCGGATGGTACAGCAAACCACCGATATTGTGCACGAACAAGGGGTAGAGCAGATCGGTGATCTTTTCCTTGTTGGCAAACTCCAGAGCGCGCTCGAAGGGGATCCTGCATTCGATTTAGCCATGAAGCCTCATCACGACTTAATAAGCACATACCACACTCCCTTTAGGTGCATAGGGCCAATCTTGACAACATGGCGGACCTTCTCGCTTTTGAGGATCCCGTCCCGACGACCTCTAGTCATACCAGCTACGTTGAGCAGCTTGGTACCGTTGATCATGTGGTTGTCTATTCGTTGTTAATAACTCTGTTCTTCCGTCCGTGACGGTTCAGAAATGCTTACCCTCTCGACGGGCAACACAGACGCCCTTAGCTTCTACCTGATAACAGAGGCTCCCTTCGTCTTCCCACAAGGTGGCAGTGACTCGCGGCTTGGCACCTGGGGGCGCCAACTGCCCAGAGGTATCATAGACAAACCCTTGCATCGGTGTTCCCGTGGTGTTGCCATAGCCCGGCGTTGTCACTGTGTGGCTGTTGACTGCTAAGGCAAAGTTAGTACACACAAGCATGGATACAAGACTCAATGTAACTTACCAGGCAAAGGCAGCAATTGAGCAGGCACCTGGCTGCTCATCGATGTCGTTGGCGGGGGTGGCGCGGGCTGGGTCGAGGCAACACCGCCAGGATAGGCATATTGCGAGTAAGAGCTGGCAGGACCATAGGTCGAGGCTGGCTGCAGGACAGGCGGTTGCTGGTGATATTGCGGATAGTGGGCCATCGCTCCTGCCGTCGCCGCTTGAGAAGCGTACGGCTGCGTGGATGAGAGATGCGACGAGTGCACATCCATGTAGGATTGCGTTTGGTTCATGCTGCCCAGGGGGGTAGGATTCGGGTAATAGCTGTCGCTCACCGGGTGCTGAGCAACGGTGTAATCCTGCGGGGCGGACGATTCCAGGGAGAGACGGCCGGGGCCACCAGCTACAAGATCAACAGACGGCGGCGGAGTCCTGGCCTCGCTGACAGTCGGTGCGGTCCCGGACGATAGGCTTGTCCGAGCGCTTGAGCTGGTCGAACCTGGAGCCGACTCTTCGTAGCTCGCCCTGTAGGACTGGCCCGAGACGATCGGCTGCGAGGCCGTGGGAAGACTGAGTGCCGGAAGTTTGTCACCAGACAACAGAGGTCGTTCCGCGGCGTGGTGGTTGTACCAAGGGATATCAACAGGACCTCTTGTGTGGACCTGGGAGATCGACGGTAGCTCCAGCTTTTCGGTTTGACGGGTAACGGTTTGAAAGTGTAGTAGCAAAGGAGCACTGGGAACGTCGAACTATGGGCGTCCGGCGTACCGTATGTGAGATATAATTCGTACCTGTATATTGCCGTTCTTTTCTTTTTGTTCTTTTTGTAGAGGTCACGGATATGAGATTCGATGTCCGCGTCCAGAAGTCCGTCGTTTTCGTAAGAAACAAATGAAAAAGCCAATTCTCACGAGAAGGACTTGTGAAGTTCAAAACTGAGTTGCTTCAGGAAGCGGTGCAGGTAATGCAATGATCAAATCGTGGAAGGTCGTCGAAAGTCGTAACCGTGAAATGTTTCAAGACTCGTCGCTGGACAGAGGAAATCGCTATGCAGGGTGTACTGACAGAAATCTACATCCACTAAACTTTTCTTCGACAGAAGGTGTGTAGTTTTTGGTCGTCACGAACAAGATAGCATGGAAAGCGAGACGAGAAAGGGATCGCAGATTGGTCAACAAAACTCGCTCAACCAGATCAGAAGCAGGGAATCATGGGTCTCGTTCAAATCGTAAGGAAGATAGGGATGTGAGGGGCGACGCGAAGTTCCAGCATCGAACGTCGAAACACTGCTTCTCAAAAACCCCCAATGTTGTGTGCCGAGTCGAATGTAACTGGTGTCTATCAGGTGGGAAGATGGTGATAGCTCGTTGCAGGTCAGACACCGCTCGACGGATCGACAGTGGAGTCAGAGCAGTCTAAAGATAATCGCAGAAGCAGAGTAAGCAAAGCGTTCAGGTCATTAACAGGGTCATGCAGAAAAAGGAAACATGAAGCATGGAAGGATGGAAGCAGAGTGGTTGAGTTGAGAAGATCAAGGCGGGATCCTGTAGGTATGTATAAGAGCCATCCAACAAACGGAAGGGATGGTACGGTGACGACGCGGCAAAGGGAGACTGGTGCAGGATCATAAAAATAAAAACAAATAAAAAAAAGAGAAAAAGCAAAAATAAGGAAAAAAAGAGAAAACCTTCTAGTTCGGCGGCAAATAGAAGGAGAAAAGAGAAAAAATCGAAGATCAAACTCTCAGAGGGTCCAGATTGGGGAGATCAAACCAGAAATGGAAGACGAGGCTCGAAGGCGGTGGGAGGCAAAGAATGATTGAGTGCATTTGCATTTGCATTTGCATAGGACATGGACATGGACATGGACATAGGACCAAGGACCAGAGGAAGAGGTCAGGCAGACAGGGAGATCATGTACGGAAAAGTGGAGGCTGGGGGGGGGGAGGGGGAGTAATAGTCCCAGTCCTGGTAGAATGGAGAATGGAGAATTGGAGATTGAGAGATTGGTGTAGACTGGTACTGGTACTGGTACTGGTAGGTACTGGTAGTACAGCAAACGCAGGACAAGACTGGACCTCTCAGGCTAAGCCTAATAGAGCTCTGCAGCAGCTGGCCCAGGACAGGATTGATTTGTGAGACAGGTCGGTTGGAGTGCGGAAAGTGGAAGAGAAGGAAAGGGTTGGTTAGGAAAGAAAAAGGAATGGTGATTGTAGGGCTATGGGTACCGACTTTTCTCTCTTTTTCCCTCTGATTTAGATTATTCCCTTGTCTTGCCTTGGGAGCTGCAATGTCCTAGGGTAATATTGTATGCATGCATGTACGGCAGAGAGCTGGGCAGGGAAACTTAGATCAGAGGTAAGCTCTCATCCATGGAACGAAAATCATCAATCCTGAATCAATGGATGGGCCGAGGGAGGGGAAGGTTGGTAGCGACGATTGTGTAAACTTGGGTTGGGAGGGGAAAAAGGGCGAAGAGAGGGGGGGGCAGCCGCTGGGCTTCCGCGTTTTAGTGGGAGGCTGGTGGTCTTCTAGCCAAAAGAGGTTTGGGAGGGAAGAGGGAAGAGGTCGGAGGAGGAAGCAGCTGTGAGGTAAAATGGAGGGAACAAAGAAAGGGTGGATCAATCTCAGACAAGGAGACCAGGACGAAGAAGGTTATTCCGGGCGTGCAATAGACATAGACAATGACAGCCTTCGAATATCGAAAGAAGGGTTCCAGGGGGATAAGGCAAGCCAGCAGGCACGGGAACCTTCAGTCTATCTTTGGATACCCGTTCACCCACCAAGCTATGGCGGAGACTGGTTGTATGTATCTTTCGATCGAAAGAAGGGTGACTGAGAAGCGAACTCAAGTCTCCAGCAGAACATGTAGTAAACACAGCAAGGTAGGAGATCGGCAACAACACAATCAATGAACGCAAATATAATGGAAAATAGTAGGCAATAGCAGTAGAGTAGCAGGAACAGAAATGTCAACATACCAACAACACGTGTAATGACGAGACGATGTTCTATCGATAGACAGTGGGCTGGATAAAACTGCTGCTGCGCGGGAATGTAAGAGTAGCTGCAAGGCAACTTGGGTGTTGCAAAATGTTTCTCTCTTACCCTCTCTGCTGATGGATTTCTGCGTCGCTTTCCTTCGTTTATCTAAGCCCTCCCCCGACCGGGTATGGATCCTTATTCCTTCGGTGCTGGAGAAGCAGAGCAGAGACAGGGCGGGCACTTGTGGATCGCTCGACGGTCCGTCAACAAACTACTGCTTAGTAGCAGTCCTGGTTCTTGGACAATAATAAATCAGAAAAATCCAATAAATCAAAAGGACAAAAAAGAAATTGTCAAGGAGTTACTGTAGACAGGGTACGAAGATTAAGTGTAATAATAAGAAAGATAAGAATTTAAAAGAAGAAATCATGATATAATGACAATAATTTAGCACGAAAAGGAAAATGGGATAATAATAATAGCAAATACCAGGAAGGAGAAAAAAAAAAATAAAAATAAAAAAAGAATGAAATAAAAAAAAAAATAAAAATAAAAAAGATGTGGATCGGCTAAGCAGTAAACGATGGAGAAAGTGGCAGTGGGATTTTCTGGGTAGAAGACCGTGCGTCTTTTTTGGCAGAAGGGCGGAGAGATACACCGTGTGGACGGGATCTGCTGCTTCTTCTGCTCCTGTTGGTACTTGTAAGGTACCTAGGCTTGATTCTTCCCTCACTGTGGCAGGATTCAGAGTCTAGAATGAACCTGAAGCCCAATGCTGGGTGTCAAGCTCAGACAGACATACAGAGAGATACAACCACAGAGAGAGAGAACGATCCTCGCTCGCAGAACCGCCACGAAGCAAGGACCACCGCCGACCGGATAAGCTAAACAGGTCTCCGGAAAGGAACCACCGTTTGGGTTAAAGAGGACGATGATCTTTGCTGAAGCGCTGTCTTGCGGACTCGGCCACAGCGATTGGTCCGAGAGAGGAAGGATAAATTTGGTACAGCACAGAACAGCAGGTGGCAGGAATTAAATGACAGTCAGGTTGTGCAGGAAAATAGAGTAACCAAGAATAATAATAATGAGAGGGGGGGAAAAGGAAAAGGACTGAAATACCTGTTTCAAGAGCTTGAATAGTTGGATTATGGAAGAGCTGCTGATGACGGTGATGATGATGGTTCAAGGAAATGAACAACGTCTGTTTCTGCAGGGTCGGGCAATGGTTAAAAACAACTCACGCACTGCAAATCAGCTCCAGGATCACTTCTTGGATTCAAGAGGAATGAGCTGTTGAAGCGTGGATAATTATTATAGTAAAACACCATGTCATTACCTCTGTTCCATAAAGCTCAGGGATTATCTATTGTACGTATTTGCGGACCTAGGGTCAGTAAGCTACGAAAAGAGAATAATATCAAATTGTACAAGTAGTTTGGCCCCATATTCCTCTTGATCCCATCAAATTACAGATAATTACTGACGGGAGGGTTGCAACTTGCAACTTCGAGACGAATACTGCACAGGCTATCTCCAGAGCAAAGTGTTGGGATCGATCGTGTTACTGTAAGTAATTCGATCGTCCTGCACTGCTAGGATGATGCTGGATCGTTTTAGGCGGACGATCCGTGGCCCAATCTAAATGCTGAGCGAAATTATTCCTTTTCCTTTTATTTTTATGTATCTTTTTGATTTTCTTTTCTTCATTCAGGATCGACAAATGACAAGACCTTCTGACAAATTGACGAGAGTGTTTGAGTGACTTAAGGATTGTTGACAAAACATTAAAGCCATATTCCTTGTACCAGTTGTACCTCTCCCAATTGCAGAATACCTTTGTTTTCAACTCGAGTTTATAATTGACTAACAGAAATTCCATGACTTCAATCAGCCAGATGAACCATGGTTATCAAGAGGTTGTCTCAACAACGCGAACCAGGAAATCAACCGACCGAATCCAGTAATCCGTCAATTGAGAGGGATACCAGTAGCAGAGATAAAGAACCATGCAACTGTGATGACTGCAATGCGCAGCGCTGATCGAGATGAAAGCTTGAGGCAAGCAGTCGGCAAGCCAGTCCTCGCGCCAAGTTATGTATGCTGTCAGGTTGAGCTAAACTCGATAGTCAACGCACGAAAGATTAGACAAGTTGCAAGTTGCAACTAGTCCTCCGTAACTACTGTACGATCATATCGATACTCGATAGCGAAATGCAAATAAGACAGCTGCAAGATTTCCGCAAGTCTAAACGGGCGGTGGATCATAGAAAGATAGCACCAAACTACTGTCATGTAGAGAAGCGAGAAGCGTTTGGTACAGATCCAACGATCCACGAACCTCGGATACGTCGAACAGGTAGGTAGCAATCATTGCCCTTCTACCAGTACGTTACTGCTCCCGTCGCCTCTCGACTAGGTTTATGATAATGACACCCGCAAAACACCGAAGACATCGGATTGGTTTTTTTTTCCGAGCGACAAGTATCGCTTTGACACTTGTAAATCACCATTTCATGGAATGCCGGATGTCAATACGAGCTGTTTACAAGGGGCTCCACGAGCGGACTAGAGGGCGCCAACGATGAGTAGCTTCCGACCAAGTGGATCCGCCTCGGGGGTAGAGGAACCCATTGGCCATGGCGTCATCCCCAACCCTGCTAGCCGGTCCACTAGTAGATATGTATCTATTGGTGTGGGCGACTGTATGTATCAATGGATTAAGGCTTCGGGACGATCTGGTGGGCGTTATGGTGCGGACTGCGGGC